GGGAGAGAGAGAGAAAGAGAGAGAGAGAAAGAGATTGAGAGAGGGGGGCGGGGTGTTGGATAGAGAGAGATACAGGCGGAAAGAAAGAAATGAAGGCGGGGAGAGACAGCATTAGGAGAAGAAATAGAGAGGGGATGAAAGGAAGGATAGAGATGTAGAGAAATAAAGAGAGAGAGAGAATGAAAGAGAGAGAGAGAGAGAGAGAGAGAGAGGGGAGAGAGAGAGATATGCAGAGAAACAGGCAGAAGAACAGAAAGTGTGTGTGAGTGGGGGGAAGGGGGGAGGGGGAGGGATACAAGAAGAAACCAAAAGAGAAGGATGTTGGACCAATGGCCCTACTCACCTTCTGTTTGTCTAGGATTTTCATGGCGTAGAAGTTCCTGCTCTCGCCCTTGTGCTGGACTAGCATGACACGGCCGAACGAGCCAGTGCCCAGAGTTTTGATTCTGTCGAAGTCGTCTAAGCATGATGTGCTCTGTGGACACGACAGGGAGAAGGACATTATTATCCCGAGGCTCAACAGTAAAGCAATGTAATAATCGGCACGCCAATAGAACTATACCTAAATCACTCGGGAAGCGCACTAAAATATTTTGAACATGCGGCATTTTGGTAGGTGTAGCAGAGTCGAGGTTTGCTCTGCTTTTGTTTTGGGCTGGGGGTTGTTTTTTTTTGGGGGGGGGGGTGCAAAGAAATAAAGGGCATTTCACCAGAATCAGACAACAATAACAATGAAAACATGAAATACGAGGTACATGACTCACCAGAACGCCCATCAACTATTGCCTAGCCACAATGAACATTATAAAGAATTTGCATTTCACCAGTCTCAGCACTACATGGATTTTCGGAAATTTACACAATATGCTTCGACAACATTGTAGTTGCATACGAGTAGACAAGCACAAATGTGCGTTCAAATCGATAACAAACAAACACACACAAACATATAAACGCACGCACGCACACACACATCTCATCCGTTGACCTATACACTCACTGAAATACAAACTAACAACCACTCTCCATACAGTATAATAAGTATGAAACAATGATCCTTTCACTTGCTTTTTCCCTTGATAAGAAAAAACAACAACAACTCATCTCAGACTTAATTAAAAAACTGACAGCGCCGCCATTGTCACGACAATAAACCATTCTTCACCTGTCGCTTACGCCGAGAGATTGCATTTATTACATTTATAGGAACCAAGTACGTTTTCTTTTCTTTTCTTTTTCCCCCCTCCTCCCTAGTTTAGTTTAGTAAAGAGTTTTACGGCACTTGCAAAACAATAAGGTCATATACGTGGCGAAGGTCAGAGGTGTTACAAGATAGTAACAACAAACGTAAAAAAGAAGGAGAGATAAGGACGATAGATGTTTTAAGAGGAAAGAAGGAGCAAACCACACCAGAGCACCCGCCAACTACCCACTTTCCTCCTCCTGAATCTAAAAAAAAAAAAGAAGAAATAATATTAAATGCTCCTAAATATCATCAAGTCAGGGGTGACCGAAAGGGCAAACCGGCTGAACAATGGATTTGAGTGTTGAGAGGGAAAACACTTCCACCGTACGGCACTGAAGTATGGATTACGAAACGTGTACTTTTCAACTGAACACGCAGAAACAATCGAGACAAAACGGAAACACCACGAGGAACATAAAACAAAGAAACAATAACTATTTTCAGAAAGCGTAATCAATTACTGAAGATAACACCGCTGATACAAAGAGAGAAATTCAATCAATACACGACATTTCCCCCGATCAAAAGAGTTGATAACCCGTCCTAGCATGCTTTTCTACCTATTAAAAATCCTTTAACCCCCCCCTTAAAATAACCCCGTCCGTCCAGCACTGGCGTTCCCCCTGGGCTGCATTCCTAGACCACTTGACCACTGTGATCCCGTGTGGGTGGCAAAT